AACTAATAGAGGACCTTCAATTCCATAGTTGGACACTTGGCATTTATTTTGTAGCAGTAGGGAGCCACAGCAGGTTTTTGAGGAAGAGAGCATTTACTTGTGTAAATTCCTTGTATTCCAAGCCCTGAAATTCACTCCAGTGGCCAGTTCAGTTGTTCCGCTTGGATGAAGTAGGGGAAGGTGTGGACGAGGAGTCAGAAAGGAAGTGAGCCAGCAGGGGCAAGTGATTCCAGAGTCCAGGATGTCCTTGGGGTCAGAAGCAGGACAAGGGCTTATGTTCCTTGCTCTTCTCCAGGAGTAAAACATTGTAGTAATATTCTAGGACACTGGGTGAACCAGTTTTTCTTTAAAAACAAAGATATTGACCTCTTCCCAGCAGTAAGGGGAAGGTGATACCCTTGTTAAAACTAGAATGTTTCTGTAGAAACTTAATATGAAAGACCTCATGTTCCAATCGGGAGCATTTTATGATGCTGGCCTAGTTTTTTGGGCTATGTGGTATTCCTTGTACAATTCTCCTTGTTGGGCTAGGTTGAAGAATGTGGCAAGGTAAAATTTGAGATGGGAAAAAAAAGGATATTTGCTTTTCTATGTGTAGAACGTGGTGTTGGAGTTGCTTAATGGGTTACCGTGACCCTTTTAAGGAGCTCCTGGAAATAACCTCTGAACCACCCACCTGATTAATCTCAGGTAGACCCAAACCTGAAGCATTTAAAGGCCATGGAAGCAGTTACTTCCTGTCCTGGCATCACCCCTGACATCTTCCCCCAAGCAGGCTGCCACAATTCCTGCTTGACCAGTGGCCTGTTAAGCTGTTCAGAAGGAACGGGGAGCAGTGGAGGCTGAGGAAATCCACCCACTTCTCCCCAGGAGAAAATACGAATCTATTTTGGAAACAATGCAGAATAGTGATTTTCCAAACATTTTTACTCACCAGTAAGGGCCACTGTATGTGTATTCGTTTTCTATTGCTGCTGTAACTAATTACCACAAGTTTAATGACTAAACACAACAAACATGTACTGTCTTATCGTTCTGGAGGTCAGAAGTCTGAAATGGGTCTGTCTCTCTGGGCTAAAAGCAAGGGGTTGGCAGAAGTACATGCCTTTTGGAAGGTGTGGGATCGATCTGTTTCCTTGCCTTTTCTGGCATCTAGAACCCACCCACATTCCTTAGTTTGTGGTCTCTCCCTCCTTCTTCAGAGCCAACAGAGCCCCGTCTCTCTGAACCTTTTCTATGGTCACATCTCTCTCTAACTGACTCCAGCTGGGAAAACTCCTTGTCTTTCAAGGACACATGTGATTAGACTGATCCTACCTGAATAATCCGTGATAATCACCCCATTTCAAGGTCATTGGCCTTAGTCACAAGTGCAAAGTCCCATTGCCATGTAAGGTGACATATTCACAGGTTCCAGCGATTAAGATGTGGGCATCTTTTGGGGGGACTGTCTTCTGCCTTCCATACTGTGTATTAAACTGTTTAACATAGGACATGACCCATCTTCTGCATCTTCTTCTGCTCAGCTAAGGACTTAGGTGAACCAAAGCCTCCCCAGGAGCTGTCCTGGCAGCTGGTCTAGGGATCCTCGGAGCCAGCTCTGGAGCAAGATTGCCTGGGTTTGAGACCAATAATCTCATTATTCAACAGCCTGTCTCATTTGGCCTTGGACAGTTTACCTTCCCTAAGTATTAGTGTGTTTATGTGTAAAGGGGGGGAGGGGGGTTCCCTAAGCAGCAGATGGCACTCTCAAATTAGGGTGATTTGAGATTACAATAAAGAGATTCTAGGTTCTCTGACACTGCTCGAGTGCTTCATTGNACAATGTGGTTCGATGCCCGGCCTGAGCAGAGCTGCCAACAGGTGGCAGGATGGCTCAGCTAAAAAAAACAAAAACAAAACAAAAAAAAAACTAAGTCCAATATTACTCTATGTTACCTTTATACACACACACACACACACACACACACACACACACACTCAGTTTAAGTACTCATAAGTATCCCAACTGATTATTTAGACTGTCAGTGTTAGAACTCAAGTACCAAGTAGACTTGGATAATGAAGGATACTTGTATTGTTAATGTTCTCTAATTTTGAAATTTATATAAATAGAATTATACCATAATATTGGCTATGATATATCACATTTTTTTTTACATTTCTGAATTTTGCTTGATAAAGTGTTGTTTAGGATTTTTGTATCTATTTTCATGGGCAAGATTGATCTGTCATTTTTCTTACTTACCTTACTTGTTTGAATATCAAATTTATACTAGTTTCATAAGATGAATCATGTCTTATATCTCTTTTGTTGATATTGTGTTGTTCTCTGAAAACTAATTTTCTCTTTAATCTAGCTTTTAGGTGTTTAATTTCAATTCTTTTATATTTATTTCTAAAATTCCCATCTGCTTTTTTTTTCTAATATGCTTGGTCATTCATTCAACAAATATTTATGGAGTGTTTACTCTTTTCTAAGCATTGTTTGGAAACTGGGGATTCAGATCAAAATTTCTGCTCTCATGGAATTTAGATTCTAATGGAGGAGACAGCAAAATAAATAAGGAAATTTGCAGAATTTTAGGTTGTGATAAAGGCCAAGAAGAAAAATAAAGTATGAAGAGAGATAGGAGTATTGCAATTTTGGAATAAGTGGCCAAGCAAGAACTTCCTGAGGTCATTTGGATAACGATAGAAAGGAGGTAAAAGGTTTAATCATGTGGATATTGAGGGAAAGAGCATTCCAGAAGCAAGTGCTAAGTTTCCAAGGCAGGCTTGTTTCTGACATATTGAAGAACTAAGAGGAGGGGACTGGAGCAGAGTGAAGAAAGGATAATAGGGATGAAGTCAGATAATGGTGAACTAGATCATGTAGCCTCTTGAGTATTATACGGCCACTGGAGGACTTTGAGCATGGGGTTACATGCCCTGACTTATGTTTCAACAGGATCACTCTATTGCCTTATGCATACTCTGGGGAGGTGGCAGGTTAAACACCAGATAGGAGCTATTGTAAAAATGGTAATTCAGACTAGGTGCTCAGCACTGATGATATGTGAAGTGGTCAGATTCCAATTCAAGTTTAAAGACAGAATAGTATTTGGAGATAGATCATATGTAGAATGTGAAAGAAAGAAAGGAATCAGTGATGACTCCACACTTTTGGTCTTGAGCGACTAGAAGAATGGAATTGTCAGTAATTTTGATGAGTAAGACAGTGAATGGTGCAGAGGGTTTGTCTTTGGTTGGTTGGTTGGTTGATTGGTTGGTTAGTTGGTTGGTTTAGCTGAATATAAGAAATCAAAAGAGGGCCGGCCAAGTGGANGGACCCTCTGGCTCCTTTGTGGTTGGGTGGTGCCATGCAACTAGTTCTGGCCAAATAATTGTGAGCAACTGTGTTCTATGTAACTTCTGGGCTATAACTTTAATAACCAGGGCAAGATTCTCCAGAACTCTCTCTCTTGTCTCTCTAGCGCAATGACCAGGAACATTCAAGATGGTGGCTGCTTTATCAGCCTGGGTCCCAGAGTAACTACAATGGATAGAGTCCCCCTGGTGACCTGGGATAGACTTGTAGCATGAGAGAGAAATAAACTTGGCTTTCTTAAGCCATTGTGATTTTGAGGGTTATTTGTTATCACAACTTAACCTCACTAAATCTTAGTTTCTTTATCTGAAAATGAAGATAACAGTGGAATCTAGCTTATGAGGTAATCATGGGGATTAAACAGGATAATATGTGTACAATACATAGAATAGTACTTAACACAAAATAATTTCTTAATATATTTTACCTACTGTATATTATTATTATTAAGTTATGCCATACCCTGACTTTGTCTCTAGTAAGTTATTTCTTTCAGACAAGTTGTTAGTCATATAACTTTAAGAAACTCCTGCTCAAATTACATTACTAGTATGCTAGACTAGGAGAGCTACAGCTTTAAATTTCTAGATTTACAATTATGTAAAGCTATTATGGAAACACTCAGGGAACCCATCCTGGTGTTTCAAAGATGTTCTGTTGCTCAGAGGAACAAAATGTGTGAGAAAACTAAACATTATCTTTTCCCCTTTTCCACTCCCCAAACAAAAAGACTATGTCCTTGTTACAGATTCTTCTGTTTCCTATTCTGAAGATTTCTGCCCAGGAAATTACCTCTGGCTTATAAATTTTTAGCCACAGATAAGTTTTCGAATTTAGGCACCTGTATCCTTGGTAGTCCATCCCCTCTCTCTGTTCTGTTTTCACTAGATGTAGACAGTGTTTTGTTTCATCAGTAAAATTTGACTTGGCTCCAGGCCGCAGCCTACCATGGTCTTTCTCCTGAAAGCGTGGTCTTCCTTAGACCAAAAGGAGAGGATCCTGTCCTTGCTCCATCACAGCCCTGACTCAGCTTGACCACCGTTACACCACCACTCACAGCCACTGAGCCTTGACTTCCAGCTTTTCCAGACCACAGCGCTCCATGTCTTCATGTATAGTCTTCTTTTTTTTTCTCTCTCTCTCTCTCTCCTGTGTGACTCTGGCTGCATCTCCTGTCCCAAAGACAGCCCTGCCTATACTTCCTAACAGCAATATGTTACTATATTAGATTAAGCTATAGAAAGTTGCCATTTTTTGAAGTTGAATATGGAAATTTCATATGGTTCAAGCTATTGTACATACACGTATAAACCCAATTTGGGAAAGAGGAGGAATTTCACCACATGCGTATTGAATTACACGTTGCATCCCCTGAAGAATCCTAATGTATTTCTCCCTCCTTACCTTACAGACCATGGTTTATGCTCTTGTATATAACCCCTTAACCTCTGCACCCCAGCACGTGGTCCACAGCAGATCCTGCTACTGTGTCTGTTGACGAACCAGGCAGAGGCTTTTCCTGATAGCTGTTATTGGCATCCATGTTCCCACATTTGGGATATTTATAAGGGTACCATTTACTATAACTTTGTGAGAGACCATAACACCTCTTTTCTTTAACCTTTTTCAGATTGAAGACATTATTACAAAGATGCAAGATGACAAGACAGGAGGTGTGCCCATCAGAACAGTCAAGAGCTTTCTCTCCAAAATCCCCAGTGTTGTCACAGGTAAACATTCTCCTTATAAGGTTTTGGTAGCAGCAGGGAAAGGTTTCTGGAGAGTTGTGAAGCCTTGATTGTGACCTGGGGGATGTCTAAGAATTTGTAAATAGTAAAGGTGAATCCTTCAACATGCTTCCTAAGTTGAGTTCTGATCCTGGTTTCTAGGAAGAACCTACTCTTTGCCAATCATAAGAGTGGTCTTCAGTAGCTCTCAGGGAAATAAAACTAAACCCACAATGAGGTGCCACCTCACACCTGCTAGAATGGCTATTATCAATAAGTAACAAGTGTTGGTGAGAATGTGGAGAAAAGGGNAAATTGGAGGAGCTAAATAAATTAGTTCATTAGACAATTGATTGGCACAGACAACACTAATATTGGCCCTTTGTCGCTTCTGTTAGGAGTGCCATCTGTACCAGCAGAGATGACCAGGCTGGTCAACAAGGAGCAGCATCAGGGGCTCTTTGGGTCATGTCTCAGTCTGGCTTCCGAGGCCATTTGTACAAAACGATTTCTCAAAACATCAAAACTCCCTGGTCCTGCACCCTTCCCCCACCTTGTCCCTCTTAGCACAGGGAGACATTCTGCATGTATCCACCTGGCATGTGGGCAACACGGGGAATGGGAACCCTGAGGTCTGACCGCCTGTCCTCCTCTTTCCTCTCAGACACCGCTGTGCATGTGTCAAGTCAGACAAGTCTCTCATGTTTTAAAACTAGAAATCTTAGTTAAGCAACCAGGCCTATCGCTATAGAGATGAGGGACATGAAGTCCAGAGAGGTTAAGTAACTTCTCCAAGGTGAACACAGCAAGTCAGCGAAGTTGAGGCTAGCATTTCTCTCAGTCCTCAGAGCAGTGTTCTTCCTACTGTCCTGCTGTGGCTTCAGTTTGAAAAGAGAGGATTGCTTCTCCTCATGCTCTCTGTATCCCACAGTTATTTCAGTGAATTATGTCTGCCGTCTCATAATATTCCTCTTTTCAAAGAAGGCCCTCCCTCCTGTGCAATGGTTTACACTTCCCCTCCTGTTTAGGAGACTGTTGTACCTGCATGTCAGCGCTGAGCTTCAAGCTCCTCAGAAAAGGGCATCCTGGTTGTTGTGACCCATCTAGGCAGAACCAGCTGAGCTGGCCCAGTAGTTTCCCTGCATCACTTGGCTGTCAGATAAGGGCCACCTGCTAATTGATTGGCACAGTGAAAATTAGATCTAATGTGCTCACCGAT